TCAGTATTCTTCTCTAACACCACAACTCAAAAGCATCGACTCTTCTTTGGTCTTCAGGGCAAATTAGGGGCTCTAATTTATGGCATAAATAGACTGTCAAGCATAACTCAAAATGCACAAATATCAGAAGATGAACTAGATAAAGGGGACCTTCTAGAAATTAAATTTTTATGTGCTTCCAAAGACTTCTCCAAGAGTGAAAAGAGACCTACAGATTGGGAAGAAATATTGGGCAACGACATATCTGACAGGGGACTTATCTCTAAAATGTATAGAAAACACCTCAACAATAAAAAAGACAAACAATACAATTAAAAAATGGGCAGAAGCCATGAGTAGACACTTCACCAAAGAGGATATTCAGGTGGCCAACAAACACATGAAGAAATGTTCACCATCATTAGCCATTGTGTTGTTGTTATGTGCTGTCGAGTCAGACCTGACTCATAGCAACCCCTCCTTGGGTTTCTGAGGTGGTATCAGTACAAAAGTAGATTGCCCAACCTTCCTTCCGAGGAGCGGCTGGTGGCTTTGAACCGCCAGCCTTCTGGTTAGCAGTCAAGGGCCTTAGGCACTACACTACCAGAGCTCCTTCATTAGCCATTAGAGAGATGCAAATCAAAACAGTGAGATACCATCTTGCCCAGCACTGATAGCAGAGTTCAACAAGACAGAAAATAACAAATGCTGGCAAGGATGTGGAGAGATTGAGACTCTCACACACTGCTGGTGGGACTATCAAATGATATAACCACTGTGGAAAGCTGTATAGCAATTCCTCAAAAAGATGGAATTAGAAATACCATTTGATCCAGCAATCCTATTACTAGGTATATATCCTAAAGAAGTGAGAGCCAGGACAAGAACAGATATATGCATACCCATGTTCATCACAGCACTATTTACAATAGCAAAAAGATGGAAATAACCTAGGTGCCCATCAACTGAAGAATGGATAACCAAACTATGGTATATACACACAATGGAATACTATGTAACACTAAAGAATAACGTAGACTCTGCAAAATACTGCATAACATGGATGAACTTGGAGGACATTATGCTGAGTGAAATAAGTCAATCACAGAAAAACAAATATTATATTAGTCCATTATTGTAAAAAGTCAAGGAAAGGGTTATGTATGGAAGGAAATTTTCTTTGTTGGTTATCAGGAGTAGGAGGGGAGGGGAGGAAACACTGCAAAAATTATTAAAATTTAAAAAAAAAATTTATATATATATATATCATGAAGGCATTAAACAGGCTGGGATGTGAGGATAATTCAGCAAGTACTGCTTAAAGGAGGTTGCTGCTGCTGCTGCTGCTGCTGCTGCTGCTGTTTGCTGTCGAGTTGGACCCGACTCATAGTGGCCCCTCCTTGGGTTTCTGAGGGGCCCAACCTTCCTTCCGAGGAGTGGCTTGTGGGTTTGAACTGCCAGCCTTCTAGTTAGCAGTAGAGTGCCTGAGGCACTACGCTACCAGGAGGGGAATATGTGAGGGAGTGACACAAAAAGAAACTAGAGAGGAATGCAAAGGGAAAGATTTGACTTCATTCTGAAAACTATGGGGAGGTACAGCAAAGATTTCTAGCAATGGAGTGACATGATCAGATATGATTTGTAGAAAGATCACCTGTTAGCTGAATGGAGGATAAGCTGTCGGCAAGGAGACCAGTTAAGGTATTATAACTACCAGTTCTTCTCTTTAAAGCCAAGGCCTCTGAAGTGGTGAGGGCAGAGAGAAACCTGGCTTGAGGAATTAGGAAACTAGCTCTGGTAGTGTAGTGCCTAAGGCACATGACTGCTAACCAGAAGGCTGGCAGTTCAAACCTATCAGCCGCTCCTTGGAAGGAAGGTTGGGCACTCTACTTCCGTAGAAATATCGCCTCGGAAACCCAAGGAGGGGTCACTATGACTTGGAAATTACTTGATGGCAGTGAGTTTTCTGTGAATATGCTGCTTTCAGACCGGGCAGTGTTTCCTTCTGTTTTACATAGGGTCACTATGAGTCAAATTCGAATCCACGGCACCTACCAACAACTTAGAGCATGTTCCTTTCACTACAGAGGCATGAAAGTGGGGGAGGAGATCTTTGGAGGAGTCTCTTCAGGAGGTCCCATGTGGTGCTCCTAGTTTTCTGTGTGTTTGTGTGTGGTCTCCTGACATTTTACAATACCCAGCACCTGCCAGTTAGCCCTACATCAGTCTCCAGATGGATCTGAGCTTCATGGTATCTTAGCACTTTTTCTGAAAAATGAGGATAATTAGAATGTGTACTGCATAGGTAGCATAGTGGCTAAGGCACTTGACTGCTAACCAGAAGGCTGGCGGTTCAAACCCACCAGCCACTCCTCAGAAGGAAGATGGGGCACTCTACTTCCGTAGTGATACTGCCTCAGAAACCCAAGGAGGGATCACTATGAGTCGGGTCCGACTCGATGGCACATAACAACAACAACAACAACAAACTGCATAGAGTGTGGGGATTAAATGAAACAACACAAACAAACAAAGCTCTTGGAATAGTGTCTGGCACCTAATTAACTTTCAACAAGTGGTGGTTCAGTGGTAGAATTCTCACCTACCATGCAGGGGGTCTGGTAGCATAGTGCCTAAGGCACTTGACTGCTGACCAGAAGGCTGGTGGTTCAAACCCACCAGCCACTCCTCGGAAGGAAAATGGGATAATCTACTTCCGTAGTGATACTGCCTCAGAAACCCTAGGAGGGGTCGCTATGAGTCGGGTCTGACTAGACATCACATAACAACAACATGCAGGGGTCTGGGTTCGATTCCCAGCCCATCGCCTCAAGCGCCGCCACCACCCATCCCAAGTGGAGGCTTGGGACTTGCTCTGACTATCACTCTTTTTAACCATACTGCTTGGGTCTTTCCTATATAACACAGAAGTCTAGGCAAGAAGTGACTGACAACCACATAAGAACATGGGTTCTAAAGTGCTTTGAGCATAATTTTATCTAATCTTTATTTTGTAATCTTGTCAGTCTAGCATTTGTAATACATACTCAGTGCTACAGAATAGTTATTTTACAGATGAGGAAATTGCAGCTCAGAGAAGCTAAACTTTCACCCAAGAGCACAGAGCCAGTCATCATCAAGGCCCAGATTCTGCTCAAGCTCTAGCAGACTTAGCTCCAAGAACCATACTTCATGCTGGCTTCCTTCCCTGACTTCATTATTTTGGGGTAACATCAAAAGCCTGAATAATTCATTCATGACTATCCTCATTAAAGAGCTCTGGTGGTGTAGTGGTTAAAACATTTGGCTGCTAACCAAAAAGTCACTGGTTCAAACCCACCAGCAGCTCCATGGAAGAAAGATCCTCATTAAAGTTATTTTTCTCATTCTTTGAAATGAAGATTCTATTTTTTTTATTAGTGAGAAGAGAAATTAACAAGAGTTTTTTGTTCCTAACAGAAATCATTCTCAAAAAGATTGAAAGACATAATTCCAAATCTTTGTCTTTCTCTTCTTTATCAATCTGTCTAGCCCAGTATTACAGTTTATGCTTAAAATACAGGGCTACAATTAGAATTTGTGGAGATGGTTAATACAACAGTAAAGCAAATGGATTTTTCTTCCCCCTCCTTTTCATTACTTATATTACCCCTTCATTTTGGGCCTGACAAAAACATTGTTTTACATGTAAATGTCTAGAATTGTGCTGTGCAATGAAGCAGCTACTAGTCACATGTTACTACAGTGCACTTCAAATGAGGCTAGTGTGAATTGAAATGCTGACAGTGTAGAGGGAGCTCTGGTGGCATAGTGCCTAAGGCATTTGACTGCGAACCAGAGGGCTGGCAGTTCAAACCCACCAGCCACTCTTAGGAAGGAAGGTTGGGCAATCTACTTCTGTAGTGATACTGCCTCTGAAACTCAAGGAGGAGTCGCTATGAGTCCGATCCTACTCCACGGCAGTGAGTTTGGTCTTTGGTTTGACAGTGTGAAAGGGAGCCCTGGTTGGCACAATGGTTAAAGCATTCGGATGCTAACCAAAAAATAGGCGGATTAAACCCACCAGCTGCTCTGCATGAGAAAGATAAGGCAATCTGCTCTGAAACCCTCTGGGCAGTTATACTCTTCTATAGGGTCACTTTAAGTCCGAATCGACTGGAAGGCAGTGGGGTTTGTCAGTGTAAAATACACATTTCATTTAGTAAGAACATGTCGTTAACGTTCAATGTTGAAATGACAAGATCTTTGATATATTGGATTAATATATATTATTAACATTAATTTAACTATTTCTTTTTGCTTTTTAATGTTGCGTCTAGAAAATGTAAAATTACACAAATGGCTTGCAATGTATTGGACAGCACTGGTGGATGAAAAAGGGGCGAGTTTCATTCAAAGGTAGTTATTTCCTTAAAATTTTTGGAGGGAGAGAGTTTGAAGCTTGATCACAGTAGGTGTGACATCCGGTGATAAATACAGAGCATCAGTTGAAAAGGGGTGGGGGCGTACTTTGAATGTTACTACTCCCCTCCCCCCTTCCTAACGAAGCAGGTGGCAGAGCTTCTTCCGGAGCCGTACTTGCCTACCAGTCCTGGGGTCTCGGCCGCAGCCGGGTCATTGAACACACCTGCGCGGCCACGGAGGTGCGCGTCCGCGAACACCGGCGCCGGGTCCACGCCCCCTCCCCCCCGTATTTTTATTTTCCTGGTACCAACCGTCAGTCTCGCACTTGTCTCCCGAGAACCATCGAGTAGATCTGGCCTAGCTGAGGTAAGCGTCCCCATCTCCCCCGCCCCGAGCCGGGTCCCGGGAGCTGAGATGCCCCCGCCTGGTGACTGGTGCCTAGCAAGGCCGTCCTGCGGCCGAAGCGCCGTTCGCTCGGTGGCCTGCTGGGCCGCGGCCGTCCGCTCCGAGGGACCGCAGGAGTCGCAGCCAGCGTGCCCCGGGGCCTCCGGGCCGCGGGGGGCCGCTGTGACCGGCCATCGCCCCCGCCGCGCCGAAGGCGGGGGCGCCGGGTTTTAGGGGAAATCGGAAAGCGGAGGGTAGCTGTGGGGGGCGGGCGCTCTGGACCTGCGGATGCTCAGGCTGCTGTCTGCTCCGCCCGAAGCGCGGAGGAGCCGAGCCGGGGCCCGCCGCCTTCCTCCTTCATGAGGCCCGAGTGAGGCGCAGCGGCAAGAGCCGGCCCGCGGCGCCTCCCCCCGCGCCCTCTTCCGAGCGCAGCGGCAGCGGCTCCGGAAGGAGGAGGAGGAGCATGTCGGACGGTTTCGATCGGGCCCCAGGTGCTGGTCGGGGCCGGAGCCGGGGCCTGGGCCGCGGAGGGGGCGGGCCTGAGGGCGGCAGTTTCCCGAACGGAACGGGGCCTGCAGAGGGGCCGCGGCACCAGCCGCCGCCGCCGCCGCAACCCAAAGCCCCGGGCTTCCTGCAGCCGCCGCCGCTGCGCCAGCCCAGGACGGCTCCGCCGCCTGGGGCCCAGTGCGAGGTCCCCGCCGGCCCCCTGCGGCCTCCCCGACCGGGGGCGCTCCCAGGTACGGAGGAGCTCTAGGGGAACCCTGTCCTCCCGAACCAACGCCTCCCCACGGGCCTCCTCCACGCGTGGTGAGGGCCGGAGCGCTCACTTTCCACGAACCCCCTACCCCCGTTTCCCCGAAAGCATTCCCCGAGGGGCCCGGGTGTTACGGGGTGGGGACGGGTGCAGAACGGGGTTTGGAAGGTGGCAGCTGGAATCCTTTGTGCGCCCGGCTGGGGGAGGGGCCGGTGCGCGGTCTCGGAGTTCTGCCGCCCAGGGGAGGAAGTCAAAATCGCCTGGCCCCCTGCCTGGCCCTGTAAAGTAAGACCTTAGCCAATCTACCTCCTGTTTTAGAACGACCACTTAGAAAAGGAAGGAAAAAACCAAAACCCTGAAGCATTCATTTGGGAGGCAGGTATGCTTATAAATGAGCTACAGCAAGTCTATTGTTTCTTTTTGCAGGCTTTTTGTACATACCCTGGCGATGACCTTACATTTCGTAATGATTCTTGTTTAACTCTTAAAAACCAGGCCCACCATGATGGCTTTTTAGTATATAGTAAGTCATTACACAAAGGAATGAACGAATCTCACGCTCATTTTTTTTCCTTCTCAGAACAAGCGAGGCCCCTAAGAGCTCCACCTAGTTCACAGGATAAAATTCCACAGCCGAACTCAGAGTCAGCAATGGCCAAACCCCAAGTGGTGGTAGCTCCTGTGTTAATGTCCAAGCTGTCTGTGAATGCCCCGGAATTTTACCCATCAGGTTATTCTAATTATACCGTAAGTGCTTCCTTTTACCACAACTCTGCCTTAATATTACTGGAAAAATGTGATTATTACTCAATTAACCAGATTATGCTGGTGCTTTTTGGATTTTATATAAAGTTTATATATATATATATATATATATATATATATTCATTGAACTGTGTGGAAACAACTTGTTCTGGAATATATTTTATAGTTTTATTCAGTCTCAAGATGTAAGCTTGAAAGTAAGAATTTTGTGTTTTCTTCATTACTGTATTGCCAGATAGACCTGGTGTCAAGGAGGTTGTCAGTCTAAAACTAAAATCCGTTTCCAGGCTTTATGGACAATCTGTAGCACAGTAGCTTGGCAAAGTTGATTTTTAATTTGATTTTTGTAAGAAAACTGAATATTCATTAGTGGCTTTAGATAAATCAGTGGTTTTGCGGTAAATTAATTATGAAGTAGTTTTTGAATATGGAGATGACGTCTGGGTTCTTGGTTCTAGTGACTGTTATTCTGCCATGTTAAAATAGAAGTGTTTCTGATGCTACATACCTATAGTATGCAGCATCGTTGTATGGGCTTTTGATAAAGTTTAAATGAATATAAAGAATTTCAAATGTTCTGATTAATCTTTATCAATAACATAAGAATTTTAAAAAATTTGTCAGTTTTTTTTAAGTGGTAGGAGAAAGGGAGCTTTGGTGGCCTAGTGCCTAAGGCATTGGATTGCTGACCAGAAAGCTGGCAGTTCAAACCCACCAGCCAGTCCTCAGAAGGAAGGTTGGGCAATCTACTTCCAGAGAGATACCACTTTGGAAACCCAAGGAGGGGTCACTCTGAGGGATCTGACTCAACGGCAGTGATTTTGGTTTGTTTGGGTTTTTTTTTTTTTTTCAGTAGGAGAAAACAAAGTACAGTGTACATAAGTAGAAAGGAGTTTGTCATGTTCCCAAACACAAGCCAAACTCACTGGCACCAGTTGATTCTGACTCAAGTTGATTCTGACTCATAGCAACCCATATTGGGTAAATGCAGAATTAAGAGAAGAGGAACCATGTTACTATGTTAAAGAAATAACTGATAGTGCTTTAGCATGATAATTTCTATCTTTCATATCTTAAGGTTTTAGAAGTGTATAGAATAGTGTACATAGGGTATAAACTCAAAGTTTGAATAGGTGAGCACTCAAGTTACCTAGCATACATGTCTTGAAGCAAAACATCAGCAGTGTAGAAACCCCCTTACAATCATTGTTATTGTTGTTAGGTGCCACTGAATCAGTTCCAACTCACAGCAGTCCTGTATACAGCATAGCAAAATAATGCTAGTTCTGTACCACCCTCACACTGGTTTCTATGTTTGAGCCCCTTGTTGTATCCATTGTGTCAATCTACCTTGTTGAGGGTCTTCCTCTTTTTCGCTGATCCTGCATGATGTCCTGGGCTTGGTAAATGCCATTGTCCTAGAGAAGGCTCCAGGAACTGGTCCCTCCTGATAACATGGGTACAGAGTGCACCCACTCCTCACCAACATGGTTGTGTTCCAAAGACCAGGCTGTTAGACCAAAATTGGCGTTCTTTGAAAATGAAAGATGACTACGTAACTGCCAAACCACGGAGAATCATCATGGCCAGCCAAGTTGACACGCAACTTTAACCATCACAGCAAATGTTACTCTCACCTCAGTGTTCTTCCTGCCTGATATGCATTGTTATTAGTGTCACCTTGGTGTTCTTACTGCCAGCTGTACAAAATAGATAATAGATTTTTTACTGTTGTTGTAAATGTGGAATGTTGGCTAAGAAGATCATTAAAAGTAAGAAGTAGATGTGTATTTCTTTTAAGATAGATTTGTTAAATTTTCTTCATCAAAGCCATAATTCAAATTTGTCAATTCTTCTTTGACTTTATTGCCCAGTTTTTGCAGGCATATGAGGATGCTGGAAATACCATGGCTTGGGTCAGGTGCACCTTAGTCCTTAAAATGACATCTTTCCTTTTTTTTTTAAAACACCTTCAAGAAGTCTTTTGCAGCATATTTTCCCAGTAGAGTACATCATTTGACTTCTTGACTGCTCCTTCCATGGGCATTGATTATGGATCCAAGTAAAATTAAATATTTGACAACTTCAGTCTTTTTTCTGTTTATTATAATGTTGCTTATTGGTCCAGTTGTGAGGGGTTTTGTTTTTGTTATGTTGAGCCTACTGGAGGCTGGAGGCTTTGATCTCACTAAGTGCTTCAAGTGGTCTTCACTTCAGCAAGCAAGATTGTGACACAAAGTTGCAATCATTATCATCCTCAAGTGTAACTGCTATTTTCACTTAACCGAATAGATTAGTTTTGCTGCTCTCAAACTTTATACAAATGGGGAACATACAGTGTATATTCTTTTTATTATTAATCTATTTTGTAGCATGTGATTAGAAGTGGTTTATTCTTGTACCATTTTGTTGAGTGAATATGCATAGACTGTCTGCTTGTTTGTATCTTTGGTGAACATTTGGGCCACGTCCACTTTGGGGACTATTATAATCAATGCTGTTATTCATGTCTATGCCCTTATTTTTTGTGTGAATATTACCTAAGAGTAGAATTGTTTGGTCATAGGGTAGCCATATGCTCAACTTTAGTACAGACTACCAAAGTTTTCCATAGAGATTATTAAAGTGCACACTGAGTATGTGTAATTTCCAGTTGTTTCATTTCCTCTCCAGTACGTGGTATTTTCTGGGTTTTTTTTTTTTTTTTTCGTTTCTTTTTTTTAAAGTTTAGCCATTCTGGGGGGGATGTAGTATCTAATTGTGGTTTTAACTCAGTTTCCCTGATAATTAATGATAGCACACCTTTTTTGTTACAGTTATCTATTGTCTTTCCATAGTTGATAGAAAAACTCTGGAACTGCAGTACTCCATATTTTGGAAAATCCATGCATCTTAGAATGCAAAGAGTTTTGGGGTTGGAAAGGGAAAGCTTAGATACAACAGGAAGTTATATAACAGTTAATTTGGGGTAAAAGGGGCCATCTGCCGTGTCAAGTAGAAATGAGAGCAGCGTGAGCTGTTGCCAGAAACTTTCATTTGGCTCAGATAGGAAAAGGAACCACTGGAGAGTTGTGAGTAGTTGAATAAACTTGGACTTGTTAACAGCCACAAACAGCTCCCTATTTGTTTTTTCTCCTGTTGACTTGGGCTACTTTATGATGGCAAGGATGCAGGGTTTTGGGGTTTTTTTCCACAGTCTTGTAACAACTGTTTTATATAGTTCCGGTGATTCTTGGATTATAGAGTGGTGTTGAGCTCTGGTGGCACAGTGGTTAAAGCATTCAGCTGCTAACTGGAAGGTCAACTGTTTGAACCCACCAGCTGCTCCACAGAAGAAAGATGAGACAGTCTGCTTCCAAGATTTACAGCCTTGGAAACCCTATAGGGCAGTTCTACTAGAGTTAGAATCGACTCTAGGACAGTGCGTTTAGTTTGGGTTTTTGGTCATCTGTTAGGCATTGCCTGCTGCGAGCTAGTTAATGAGCTCCTTCTGTGTTCAGTTCAGTACAACGGATTGTAAACTGGAAGCCATGGCTCACATGTGGCTTACAGGTGTGCCTTTTCGGGCCTCAAGGTGTTGTGGTTTTTGTTTGTTTTCTCATTACATTTTAAAATTAGTTACCAACGTTTAAATTACATATTGCAAATCTGGTTTCTCTTAAAATTATGAGAACTGGCCTTTCTGGGCTAACATTTTGGTAGAGCAAAAGTTGGCTGGAGCTGAGTAGAGGCCACTGTCTTTAGTTGGAGCTTGTGTGCTGTACTCTCTTTGCTGCCTGGCTTGGTTTCATGCATTTATAGCCCACCTGGAATCTGCAGGCATTCATGCTTGCTGGTACGTTGGCTAGGATCTCTGATAGTGTAGTTGTTAAGGCATTTGACTGCTAACCAAGACATCAGTGGCTGGAACCCACCAGCTGTTCTGCAGAGGAAAGACAAGGCAATTTGCTTTTGTATAGATTTACAACCTTGGAAACCCTATGGGGGTTGCTATGAGTCTGTATCAATTCAATGGCAGTGAGGAACCCACCAGCCACTCCTTGGAAGGAAGGTTGGGCAATCCTACTTCCGTAGTGATACTGCCTCGGAAACCCAAGGAGGGGTCGCTATGAGTCAGGGCTGACTCGAAGGCACATAACAACAACAACAACAAGTTTACCCTAGGAGCTCTGGTAGCATAGTGCCTAAGGCACTTGACTACTAACCAGAAGGCTGGTGGTTCAAACCCACAAGCCACTCCTCGGAAGGAAGATGGGGCAATCTACCTCCCGTAGTGATACTACCTCGGAGGGGTCACTATGAGTCGGGTCCCACGCGATGGCGCATAACAACAACAACAACAGTTTACCCTAATGGTGAGCCTTGGTCAAGGCTAAATTTTTCTCAATCTGCTCAGTCATAGAAGAGCTAAATCTTTGTTCTTCCTGATTCTTGGAATAAAATCTTGTAAGGAAAACTTTTCCTTATTGTAAGAATCTGTTGCTTGGTATCCCTGTGATAGGTCTGCTTTCGAGAATGCATTTTTTCCTTTAATATCCTTATAATCTTTTGCTCTGCTTTCAAAGCTTCAAGCCCTTTTATCTTCAGTCTTTCCTGTAATCTCATTGCTAGAATTTCCTGCTTTCCATGTCTTATGAGTGAGTTGTTATATCCATCTATTTCTGGCCATTGTTTCTTCTCAAACCATTATATCTTAACTATTAAATAAAAATCCACTTACTAGAGCCAGAATTTCCTCAAAGAATTCATAAAGCATTTTATTAAGAGACAAAAGTTCTTCTCCAAAAAGCCTAGCTTTTTTCTAAGAACATCCTCTTTTAAGTTATTGCCCAGTTTTTCTTCTGTGTTCAATAGTGACATCTTAGAGAATTACTCACTAGTGGTGCTGTTGTACCTCCCATTGTCTGCTCAGCCTCTGTACTCTGATTCCTCCAGCTGTATTGGTACCATATTTGTGATAATTACTAATGCTTTTTTGATTG